TTAAAATAAACTTGTGGACTCAAAGCCCATTAGGATTCACTCCAGGACTAGTGTCTAAGATATAAATATCTGAAACATGTAAAAGCTATATAAACATTAGCAGTATTTTATCCAAAAACAATGTAGGACTTATTCAAATTTTTTGTCTTTCTCTCTCACTTTAACCATGCCATCATCATCAACAACAACACAGGATCTTCCATGCCACTGCTATCACCAAGCTTCACTTTCAATTGAGTAAACAAAAGAAAGTGGTAGTGACATGAGACGGAATGCACATAAAGAGAAAGCTGCAACTTTAGGCACTTCGCATGGGTCATCAAATCTTGTTCCGGAGGAACTAATTAATACTCATTGTAGAAACCATTGTATCACGCACGTTGAATCGAGTAACAATCTTGTATTGTTCAATATAGGCAAACCAAAGTTGGTTAACAACTTCAGATTTGGTGTGTTGGTGAGTTTTCATACTGTTATTGGGAATGGAAAGCTGAAGACGTTGTGAAATCAAACTTTCATATATAAGCTGTCAATTTCAACAAAGAAAACTATATTTTAGAAATCGCATGGTGTTGTTTCTTTTCAAATATTAAGTTCGTTATACATTCTAAGAAATTGGTTAATTTGAGTGAAGAGATTATTCCGTGTTGGTTAATTTGTACTCTCCGTTGTTTCTATTTCATATCAGGAGATGATAAAGAGAGTTTTGAATATTATCAAGGGATTTGTTAAGTGCACTAATATTTATATGGATGAATAAAGTATTGGTGGACAAGAAGGAAGAAGATGAAAATGATGAAAATGGAAGACAGGGAAGAGAGAAAAGTTGTAATGAATTCTTCAACGAAAAATAATTACTTTATTAAAATCTGTTACAACTAAAGCTTGACTTATGTACTATCAGCACCTAAGTGACATTCAAATGCAAACTAAATTCATCTCTAAATTCAACTCAAATGAAAAATGAATAATATCTAACATCATCCATTAATTCATTTTCAACTAATTAAAATCAACAATATCATTTCCATCTCTCAAATGGATAAAGTGTTCAGTCTTAATTGCGTTGGTTAGTACGTCTGTCAGTTGCTTCTGAGTGCTACAGTGAAAAACTTCATGCACTCCACTCTAAACCTGGTTGCACAAAAAATGGAATTTCTTAGCAATGTGATTGCTTCTTCCATGCAGTACATTTCCATTGGTCAAAACAAGTTTTACCGCAAGCTTCTTGAAATCCGTGGATAGGAGAGACAAAATTTCGGCCCAATTACTTTCTTTCCACCTCAGTATTAATTTCTACAAATTGTCAATTACACATAGATTTAGGACACTCTTCAATTTTCCAAATTGTGAAGGATCTAAGGCCTTTGTAAAAATGCCAGCTAACTATTTTTCAGTTGGCACATGATCCAGAGTAATTATTTTTTCTTCCACTTGCTCTCTAATAAAGTGGTGTCATATATCAATATGTTTGGTATGAATATACTAAAAGATTCTTGGAAATGTTTATAGGACTCATGTTGTTAGAGTAAAATGTCATGACATTTTACTAACATTGTAATCTTTTGACATCTGCTTCATCTATATGAGTTGAGTACAATTACTTCCAGCAGCAATGTATTTAGCTTCAGTAGTGGATAACGAAACACAATTATATTTTTGTTAAACCATGAAATAATATTTTTTTTCTTCTAAAAAGAAGCATCCACAAGAGGTTATTTTTCTATCTTCAGCATTACATGCCCAATCAGCATCACAATATCCAACTAGAATACAGTTGGTGTCATATGAGTACATGATTCCATAATCATAGATACCATTTATGTATTTGATGATCCTTTTGGCTTGTATGAGATGACTCACTTTGGAATTGTCTTGATAGTGAGCACACACGCCAACAAATAAGGTGATGTCAAGGTGACTGAAAGTCAGATACAGTAGAGTTTCAAACATTATTCTATAGAGAATTTGATTCACATTCACTCCTTGATCATCTTTAGTGAGTTTCACGTGAGTGGCAGTAAGAGTGCAATTGTGCCTTGCATTTTCAATACCAAATTTCTTGACAATGTTCTTAGCATACTTGCTTTGGGACACAAAAATATCATATTTCATTTATTTAACTTGGAAACCAGGAAAGTAGGTAAGTTCATCTACCAAATCCATTTTCAACTCTGAATGCACTTTGTTGGATAAAATGTTCTACTATCTTGCTTGACATCCCGCCAAACACAATACTACCCACATATATTTGAGCTATCATGAATTTTCCTTCCTCTTTCATGACAAATAGAGTCTTGTCAATTCCTCCTCTCACATAGCCATTGCTAGTGATAAATTCAATGAGACGTTCATATTATACTCTTGGAGCTTGTTTCAACCCATAAAGCACCTTATTAAGCTTGTAGACATGATCTGGTGAACTAGGATCAATGAACCATTTAGATTGTTCAATATACACTTCTTCATTCAGAAATCCATTTAAAAATGAAATTTTAACATCCATTTGATACAACTTGAATTTCAGAAGGCGAGATATTCCTAGTAACAATCTTATAGCTTCCGAGCGAGCAACAAGAACAAAGGTTTCATAAAATTCTAGTCTTTGTATTTGAGTGTACCCTTGATCTACTATACAAGACTTTTTTCTTGTCATCTTACCATTTTCATCTGACTTGTTTTTGTAGATCCACTTGATTCCAATAATGTTGGCAGAGTTAGGTCTGGGTGCCAATTCCCAAACTTTGTTTCTTTCAAACTGACCAAGTTTTTCTTGCGAAGAATTTATCCAATATTCATCCTTTAAGGCTTCTTTAACATTCTTAGGTTCAAATTTGGAGATTAAAAACATGTTATGAGTCTTTATCTTCAGGTGTTAGAGTGATGTTGGTACCTTTGTCAGGGACATCTGGTGTAACATTCTGCTCATGACTAGTAATTCCCTCTTCTTATTCTTCTTTATTGAATTCATCATGTTGTGTGTCATCTACAAACACATTGATAGACTTAATCATGGACTTGATGTGATTATTGTACACTCGGTATGCCATATTGTTTGTAGAGTATCCCAATAAGATTCCCTCATCACTTTTAGGGTCCAACTTACATCTTTGCTCTCTATCAACAAGGATGTAACACTTGTTGCCAAATACATGGATGTACTTAATACTTGGATTTCTTCCTTTCTATAGTTTATAGTGATTAACTTTGGTTCGTGGTCAAATATTAACTCAATTGTGTGTGTGACATGATATGTTCATGGCTTCTGCCCAAAATTGATAAGGAAGATTATTGGCATGAAGCATGATTATATCCATTTCTTAAGTGTTAGATTCTTACGTTCAACAACACAATTTTCTTGAGGAGTGATGGGGGCAGAAAACTCATGAGAAATTCCTTCAGATAAGCATAATTCACAAAAACTAGAGTTCTCAAATTCTCTTCCATGATCATTAGGAATTCAAACTTTCTTTCCCTTTCTCACAATGCAATCGTTGGCATAGATTTTCAAACGTGATGAAAGTATCATATTTTCCTCAAAGAAAATCAACCCAAATGTACCTTGATAATTCATCAACACACACACACAAATACACATCTTCTTCCACCCAAGCTTTCTACTTGCATGGGTCCCATGAGATTCATGTGTAGTAACTCAAGAACCATCGAGGTGGTAAGATTGTAACTTTTTGTGTGACATCTTGGACTGTTTACCTATATGACAATATTCATAAATATTTCCTTGTTCAATCTTGAGACTAGGAAGACCAAAGATGGCCTTTTCTGAGAAAATTTTCCTCATGCTTCTGAGATTTAGATGTCCAAGATTTTTTGCCACAACTTGGTTTCATCCTCTTTAGAGATCATACATGCTTGAGGTTGATCATTTATTTTGAACTCCACATGTAGCAATTATCCACATAATCTGATATCCTTCATTATTGGTTCCAGATGTTTGTTAGTGACAATACATTTAGGACAATTAAAATCAACACAAAGTTATTTATCACACAATCGGTTGATACTGGTGAAGTTTATAGTGACACCTTCAACAATAAAGACACCAACTAAACTAGGAATGACTGGATAATCCAGTTTCCCTTTTGCAATGATTGTTCCTTTAACATCATCACTGAAAGTAACATAGATATTGGTATGTGGTTTTTAAGTCTTTTAAGTAATTCTTTTCTCTAGTCATATGTGTGGAGCAACCACTATCAAAATATCAATCTTCGGGAGGGGAAACCCTTAATGAAGTGTGAATAATGTGACTTTAAGTTGCCTCTTTGACTTTATAAACTTGTTAAAGATGCTTTGAAGTATTCCAGATGGGATGGTTATGATAATGATAGTAGGGTCTTCCATACAACTTGTAGCAAAAAGGTCTTATGTGACCTTATTGGCTAAAGATGTGATATACCCATAAAGCTTTGTTGTATACATTTTTGCGTTGGTAATGATGTTGTGACATATGGTTTGACATAAGGAACTCGGTCTTTTTTACCATATGGAAAAACTTATATTTTGCATTCAAGGAGCTATAGCCAAACCTAATTACCTTCATATTTATAGAAGTCTTGCCAACCCCTAAAATTTCATCAAGAGTTTTAGAACTAAAATTTAGCATACAAACTGATTTGGTCATACCTTCAAGCTTGGAGTTTAGCGTCTAAACGGGTACTCTCGTGCTCGTTTATCCGGTCTTTTTTAGTGTGCACAAGCAATAAAATTTATTTTATTTTGATTCTAATTTAAATTATTTTTATTATAAACTTTGTGACATGTACTTTAATTTTCGATTGTTTGCTTTTTTTAGCGAACACATGAAAGAAATTATAAAAGTAAGATAAAAATCTAGAATAATTTAACGATTTGATATGTGCTATTAAAAATAATATTATTTATAAAAAGTATAATTAAAAGTAATATAAAAATAAATGTGTGTTAATAATATTTGTATCTACCATTAAATTAAATGTGATATGTATTTACTGAACGAAATGGGCAGGCGCGGACGACCACCAAAGGTGGTGGCAACGCCGGAAACATCAACTGATAATCTGAACGATGATCAGCAAGGCAACAAAGATTCAACATCTGAGACAATAATGGAACATGAAAAAGAGAAAACAGTAGGAGCGATTGCAGAGAACCAGGAAATCCATGAAACCCTAGAAGCAGAGAAGGGGATAAACGAACCCAGAAAACTCTGGGTTGACGTCATTAGCGGAAATCGCAACCCAGGTAATGGATTATCACTCGAATTCATAGCACCAAAGATTGTCAATGGAGTACCGGAGGTTATAATTGAGGAAGTAGATACTATCAACGAGGTGAAATTCTGGGAAACCTCTTTGATAATGTATGTTCTGGGTGGTGAATTAAGCATGAATGGTGTCAAGCAGTTCATGACCAAACAATGGAATTTCGTCAAGTTACCTGACATGTACTACAACAACGAAGGCTATTTTATTCTGAGATTTCATTCGCATAAAGAAAGAGACAATATTCTATTGAAGGGACCGTATACCATACAAAACATGCCGATGTTACTAGCTGAATGGAAGCCAAATTTCAATTTGAAGACTGATATGCTGCGTACCATCCCGGTTTGGGTCCAATTTCCCCAACTGCCACTCCATCTATGGGGAAAAAAATCCTTGGAAAAGCTAGCAAGCGTACTCGGAACCCCGCTAATGACTGATGAATGTACCGCCAACAGATATCGTATTTCATATGCTAGAGTACTAGTCGAAATAGACATCACCCAGGAGCTGATTAAGGAAATAATCATTACGGACGACAATGGAGAAAAGATGCATAAAATGGTGGAATATGAGTGGAGACCACCGTATTGTATGAAATGTCATCGAATAGGACATAGATGTGAGGAAAAACGGCAGGAAAATCAGGTGAAAAAATGGGCCCCCAAGAAGAAGAAAACAAATGAGTACCAATTGAAAAAACCTCAGGAGGAGCATGTTCTTAAGACACCTATACACCAGATAGTATTGCCTGTGAATGTTCCGACACAACAACCTATTACAAAGGCCCAACAGCAGACCAGAATTGAGATTACTAATGGACCAATCCTCCAACCAACAAATGAACAACAGACAGATGAGGGAGAATCCAAAGGCTGGACAGCAGTTCGGAGGCGTGATAAAGATAAAAGTTAGTCCATTAGTGCTGGGAAGAATCCTAGAGCGACTCACGTGAAAGGGAAACATGGAAATCTGGTTGCAACACTTGGGGATAATTCCGCCTCAATGTTCTTAGAGGATGATCCATAATCATCTCATGGAACGTTAGGGGGCTAAATAAAGCGGGCAAGGTTAGAGAGATCAGCTCCCGTCTTCGAAACCTTGAACCTGCAATAATTGTATTAATTGAGACTAGAGTGAAAAAGGAAAAAGCTGTGGGAATACGAAAGAAGTTAAAGATGCATGGTAGTTACATGGATAATTATGCTCAACATGATCATGGCCGAATTTGGATCCACTGGGATGACAACAGCAGACAGGTCGAATTTATTGTGAGCACGGATCAAATGATTCACTGTAAAGTGAATGATGCTAATGATAATTTCATGTTCTGGATGACGGCAATATACGCGCAAAACCAACTGCATCATAGAAAGAAGTTATGGCAAGACATTGAGAAAATATGTGCAAACCAGAATGGGCCTTGGATGGTGATCGGTGACTTCAACAATGTTATGAAGATCGAAGATCGGATTGGCGGGAATGAGGTGACTGAGAACGAATACAGGGATCTAATTGAGATGATGAGCAAGACTGAACTATATGCTCTAGAACATCAAGGTGATTATTTCACCTGGTCCAACAAACAGGAACACAATGCGATTTATTCGAGGATTGACCATGTGTTGGGAAACGCGGATTGGATGCAGCAAAACGATAATACAACTCTTACTCATGAGAACCCCAGCATCTCCGATCACTTCATGCTGGTACTGAATGACAACACGCCAAAAACTAGAGCAAACAAAATTTTCAAATTCATAAATTGCAGCGCGGATTTGGATCGTTTCCGGGAAACTGTCAGTGATAATTAGAATATGCCAATGGAAGGTAGTCCAATGTTTATTGTTTGGAGGAAATTATTGGGGTTTCAACCACATATAAAATCACTTAGTAAACCTTTGGCTGATGTGAATAACAAAATTCTGCAGACCCATGAGAAGCTAACAGTGGCCCAGACTGAACTTGCGCATAACAGGCTAAATGGTGATAAAATTCGATAGGTTAAGGAATATACTGCAGAACTTTTGGATTGGCAGGAAAAGGAAGAGAGTATGCTGAAACAGGGGGCGAAAATTGATTGGTTACGTCACTGTGATGGTAACAACAAATATTTTCATGCCTCAATTAAAATGAGACAACAATTCAAAACCATGAAGAAAATTCAAATGGAGGATGGTTCTTATGCTACAGATCAAAAAGGACTGGAAAATGCAGTGCTAGAGTTCTACACTAAACTCATGGGGACACGTTCCAACGACCTTGAAGCTATTGACACGAGTGCAATGCGTGCGAGCAGCCAGCTGACTGAAAACCAGAGAACAATGCTCAGTGGACCGGTTACAGAAAAAGAAATCAAGGATGCGCTAGATGGTATAGGAAATGACAAGGCGCCGGGTCTAGATGGCTTTGGAGCCTATTTTTTCAAACAGGCATGGCAGATAGTGAAGGCAGATGTTATAACAGCAATTAATGATTTTTTCAATACCAATCGAATGTATAAGGCGGTGAACTGCTCAATTGTCACGCTTATCCCTAAACACAGTGGAGCGAAGGAAATGAAGGATTATAGACCGATTGCTTGCTGCAGTACCTTATATAAAATCATCTCAAAGGTACTAGCTAATCGATTGGCCATGGTATTAGGAACAATTGTGGGTGATAACCAGGCTGCATTTGTAAAGGGACAAAAAGTTCACAATCATATACTCCTCACTCATGAGTTGATCAAGGGATATGAAAGGAAAAGAATCTCCCCCAGATGCCTTCTTCAAATGTATATCCAAAAAGCATACGATACGGTGGATTGGAATGCGTTAGAGAAGATTTTACTTGAGGTAGGCTGCCCACGAAAATTTGTTGATTGGGTCATGACGGCAGTTTCGACGGTATCATACAGATTCAATGTTAATGGATACCACTCTGATGTTATGAAAGCAAAAAGGGGTCTACGCCAAGGTGACCCTATCTCGCCTATGCTTTTTGTCATTCTAATGGAATGCTTGAACCGTTACCTCTTCAAAATGCAACAAAATAGTAACTTCAACTATCTCCCGAAATGTGAAAAATTGAATATTACAAACTTGTGTTTTGCGAACGACCTCCTCCTTTTCTCTAGAGGCGACAAGAATTCAGTCGATTTAATGATGGCGGCTTATGCCAAATTCTCGAAGGCCACGAGTTTAGTTGTGAATCCACAAAAATGTCGAATTTATCTTGCTGGTGTAGATGAGAAGACGAAGAAAGATATTCGTATGGCATCAAATTTCTAAATGGGACAGTTACCGTTCCGGTATCTAGGGGTACCTGTAACGAGTAAGAAGTTATCTATTTCCCAGTATTCGCCACTGATTGACAAAATTGTTGGAAAAGTACAGCACTGGGCAGCGCAGTTACTAACTTATGCGGGGAGATTACAGCTTATAAAAAACGTGATGTTTGCGACGACCAACTATTGGTTAAACTGTTTTCCCTTCCCTAAAGGTGTCCTTAAAAAAATTGAAACAATTTGCCGGGTTTTTCTTTGGACAGGCGGTTTTGCAGGTAACCGTAAGTCACCCGTATCTTGGAAACAGGTCTGCAAACCAGTTGGCTATGGTGGGTTGGATATCATTGATATTGAAGTGTGGAATAATGCCAACTTAATGAAGCTGCTTTGGAATTTGAGTGGGAAAGAAGACTCGATGTGGGGACGATAGATACAGGCACACTACATCAAAAACAGAAGTCTGCTGGATATACAGTGTACCAACAATGATTCCTGGATTATGAAGGCCATTCTTAGTCAGAGGGATGATCTCACTACAAAAAGGAAAACTGGCAGAAATCATGGAGGATCCAAACCTTAAAGTTGGCAAAGTTTACAAATCCCTACAAGAAGATGGACAAAAGGTAAGATGGGCAAACTTGATCTACGGTAATAATGCACGACCCCGCGCTAAATTTATTATGTGGCTGGCTTGTCATGATAGATCAGCAACTAAGGACAGGTTAGCTAGGTTCGGCATGATTGAAAACACTGAATGTTGTTTCTGTTCGAATGATGAATCTCTAAATCATTTATTCTTCGAATGTGAAACAATGAGAAATATTTGGAAGGAAGTCCTACAGTGGATGCAGATCCACCGTATCCCGGGGGGCTGGCAAGACGAACTTAACTGGATGATGCATAACACAAAGGGAAAGGGAGCAAGGGCGGTTATCATTAAAATGGCGGCATCCGAAACTATATATGAACTTTGGATGATTAGGAACAAAAATTTTTTTTGACATGAATGAAGATACTACCATAGTGAGGAAGAAAGTTATAGATACATTGGTATACAGAGGATGAAATACCAAGAAAATTAGAAATTACATAGTCATTCTTATGTTAGATGCGGGATAATTTCTTTAGTTTTCTTGACTCTTTTAGTCCTAGTTAGTTTGTGTTAGTGGCTGGATCCGAAAGAGGATTGCTTATACTTACTGTTATTTTTTGAAATAATACAAAAAATTTCTTTTACTCAAAAAAAAAATGTGATATGTATTCATTTCTATCTTAGACTTAAAAATAAATTACAATTTAGTTAAACTTTATTTTTAAGATTCTAATTCAATTAAATTTTAATTATGAAATTTTATGGACAATGTTTCCAACATAAATATTCATTAATATTGATCTCTATCTATCTCTCCCTATCTCTATGCTGTAGCAGCCGATGCGATCCTCTTACGTCGCAACTCTTTATAGCAGTTTTTATGATGTGTTAATTGTGTACGTATAAGAGTAGCGACTACATCTTATTTATAATGCGTTCATAATTTACATGCGACTCATTAAACTATTTTTAAATACCAAATCATATTATTTTACATTTTTTGTAATTTATTTTTTTGTTACAATTGTTTTTAGTTTTTGTTATTTTTATCTTTTAATCTTAATTTTCTTTCTCTTTTATTAATAAACTAACTTCGATTTCATAGTCCACCATTTTATTAAGCAACTATATCACTTAACGTGTTGTCAATATTTATGTTTATTATTTTTTGATATTAAATTAATAGAATTCTACTTAGAGAATATCTATTTTATAAATTTTGTGATACGTTCTATTAAAAATAATATTATCTTAGTTTTATTTCTACTTTAGAATATTTAAATAATATTATTTTTAATACGATATTCAATAAAAATATTATTAAAAAATATATATATGGTCATTTTTCTCTATTGTAAGCATTAAAAAAATTTATATCCGTCTGGATGCTAATTAATTAAGAAAATTATTTTTGTAATATAATAATGTTAGAAAACCATCTTATTATAGATGAGATAGTATAAAATTAAGTTAGTGGTGGTATAGTGGTTAGAAGAGAAAAGAATTAATCTATTAATTAAAATAAAAAATGTAAAATTAGTGGAATAAATAATAATAATAAATAAATAAATATAGGAATAGGAACAAATTAAAAGATATTGAATTATTATATCATCAGTCCATGATATGTTGCTTTAAACTCCAATCATATTTATGAGAGCGAAATTTCTATATAATTTCTCACATTTTTCATCTATCTCGTAAAAATATATATCACATGAATTTATGTTTAATTTGACATATGATAATAAAAAAGAGCAAAATGTAAAAAACTTTACAAGATCAATTTATAATGATTTAAACACATAGCAACATTATTGACCAATTAATATGATGTATTTGTGATTTTTTGAGCTATATACATCTTGTGCTATCTATATTTTTTTTAATTATCTTTATTTAATCTTTATGCTTGAATAAATAGTTGTTTTTGAAAGTAAATATTGTTTTATGCACAAAAATAAGATGAAAGTAGTCTTAGAAAAAATTTAATATAATTATTATATAACAATGTATCATTAAATTAGAATATAATGTGATTTTTTATAAAATAAA